AGGGAAAGAGACAGATAGACAAACAAAGTGAGAGAGAGAGAGAGAGAGAGAGAGAGAGAGAGAGAGAGAGAGAGAGAGAGAGAGAGAGAAAGCTGAAAGAAGACTGTGAGAAAGGTGGAGAACAAAGACAGAAAATGCTGGTATGAGTGTTGACGAGGCGTCAAGAACGCATGAATGTTTGTAAGATACACTTGTGGGCGAGTATAGCTCTCTTATCAGTGTACACGGATATGCGTCCGTGTGGTAGAATAATGTCTTTGTAACTTAAGTACAGTCTGGGAGATAGGGCCGGAGTCTTGCTGATTTCCCTGTAATCGTTTTCGTAAGGCTTAAACATATTTTGGAAATTACTGGCAGCTTTCTATCAACCCTAACCACACACTAAGCTGCGGAAACAGTTCGTCACTCGAAAAGTGCGTTATAGGTACTTACTAATATTCTAAAATATAACAGCATTCAAAATACGGCTCAGAATTACAAGCAAAGCTAAGAAATGAAAAGACAAAACAAATATATAAGCAAAACATGAAAAACTCAAAAGCAAAGACGCAAAACAGCGCAAAAGGGATAAAGAAAATTACCAAAAGTAAAACTGGCTGGGAACTGAAAATTAAGCCGTATTCTCAGTATGTGTGTCTTGACAGAGCGTAATGCTTCCAGGAATATAACAGATTACAAACAGAAGATAACACAGGAACTTGTATCCTGGTATCAGGCTCACACCGTCTGCCTAGGCCAAAATGGTGCGTATGGAACAGATTATGACCAGAGAATTGCAACACCACCCACCCCCCAGCCCAACCACACGGGCGCAGAACCTGTCTGAACCCTGCTCTACAATGCAAATAAATGTAGGGTGTCAGCAAGTTTCAAAATTAAATTATCACAGCTCAGAAAGACGTAAACAGCCTATGGTATTTGTACACAACACAAAAACAAGATGGAATGACGTGTGTCCATTGAGGAATAAAAGGTCAGGAGTTTCGCTTACACTCTGTTAAAGGCATAACGGTTTTGTACTTCGCCTTTCGTTTTCTCGTCTCCTGCTCTTGTTCGTAGGCCACGGAGGGTTCAACTAGACGTCGGTCAAGGTGTCACAACCAACAGTGAGAGCAGCACTAGATTCACGTCAAGCTGAGGCGAGTTATCGGTTCACCAGAAAGGAGGATGGAGGCGAGGATTAAAAACTATTCAGTCTCCGTGGTGTGGCTCTGTTTCCTTGCCTTACACTTGGCAGTCTCAGAGTCTCAGGCTTCCGATGAATGTCCCACTGGATGGCGATACTTTTCAAAAAGAGCAAGCTGCTTCAAGCTGTTTTCTGAAGAACGTGTATCCTGGTCTCAGGCTAACCGTAACTGTCAAGAGCAAACAGGAGGACCCAACAACAGCACGATGGGCGTGCTTGCTCGAGTATTTGACAAGGAAACCGATGAATACCTGCAAAATTTACTGTCAGAATTTTCCGAATCGGAAGCTTGGATTGGTCTTAACGACATAGACTTAGACAATACCTCGTTGCCATATCGCTGGGACTTTTATGATCTTATGGAAGGAGACTACACCGGGTGGAAAGCCGGGGCCAGCTACAACAGCGACGGGATATCCTCTGGGGTCATCACAACTCCCCAGGGATGGGAAGAAAAAGACTACCAGCTAAGCAGCGCCTACATTTGTCAGATCGACCTGGGACTCCCTGATGTGCACTTAAGCTGTCCTCCAATGGAAGAAGGAGAGAAATCTCAAAATTCAGTGTGTTCTTTCAAGAAAACTCGGTGGATAGGTTCGGTGCAGTGGCAGCTTCCTAACGGTGGTGTCGCCGATTGCTATAGTTCCGGCGTCTGTTTGAATAGAGGTGATCCTAATTTCCAAGCTATAAATAGTTCTACAGAAGAAGTCAGGTCAACGTTCGGCATCAATACTGTCGTGTTTGGAAAGCACAGCACACTCATGTGCACGCCTGAATTCATCACCGGAAGAAAAATAGCCAGTTGTGATTTACCTGTTTACGTCAAGCCATCAGCGCCTCGTTGTGAGTTCAGTTACACAGCGAAAGGTCAGGCCCACTTCGTCTGTGTTATCGACAAAGTATACCCTGGGGTAGCATGTGAGTGGTCAGGACATCTCGGAATCGCCACCAAGGTGACGACTCTTGCTTCGGGTCACAAAAAGGTCAGGTGTGAGCTGGTTGAAGACCTCAGAGGAGAACTAGACAACTATCTCATTAAGGTATACCCTCAGCTCAATGATGGAACCCGTATTGAAGAGGCCTCGAACGAAGTCACGTTTGAAATGCCAGACGGCCTTGTTGAACCTGAAATCTTCGACGGTAAGGGCAACGAACTCACTGTGATAGACTTTGACACTGACCGGAACGAAGTCGTTCACAAAGTATCTCCTGTTAAATTAATCACTCAGGAGAGATTCACGGTGAAATGTGTGAAGCCACCTGGTAGCCTGCGTACAATTTCCACCTCAGTCCACTGTGACGACTCCATTCGTGACGTCGACACCGGACTCTCGTCCAAGACGGCACCTGGGAGGAAAGTACAGCTGACCTTTAAAGCTTCTGAGTCTATGGATGGAAAATCCTGCAAGTGCATTTCCCTTTTATCTGGCAATGAATCTTCCAGAGACACATCGGTGAGTTTTTCTGTTGAGGGTATGTTTTGCGACTTTGAGTCGAACAAGTGTGGCATAGAGTGCACCCTCTGTGACGGAACGTCCTGGATTCGGGCCTCTGCAAGTGCGGACCTCTACGACAAACTCCCAAAACAGGATTATGGGTCTGATTCAAGCTCGGGTTATTTCCTCTACGCGGGCAAGTTCGGTCGCAACACTGGTCCCGCCATTCTGAAGACCAGGTCAGTGGACACCAAAGACGGAGGGGCGTGTTTGTCCTTCGTTTACTTCTCCGGTGCAGGGACGGTAGCTGGGGGCGCTACTTTGACTGTGTTCACCCGGACTCACAACGACAGCAAAGGCATTCCCGTCAACATCTTTGGAGCACAGGTTTCACAGGGACAAACAGGCTGGAGAGAGGTGACTGTTGAAATTCCCGGCGATCAGGGTCTTATCGATGTCTTCTTCCAGGCGGACCAGCCAGACAGGACAAGCGATCCAGTGGTCATTGATGACATTTACCTTCGCCCTGGACCATGTTCAAAACCTTAGAGAAAACTGCCATTGCCATAACCCCACAGCAAGAGTAGCAATACTGTCAGGAGTTGCAACACAAGAACCAGAAACAAATGCAGTATGACGGGTGGCACCAGCCAATAGCAATTCGTTTTAAGGTTTTGAGTTATTTGTTTCTCACCAGAACTGTATTTAAATATATAACTACAAAGCCTTACGTGTGCTAGGAGACACCACTGGTAGACTATGAATAAAGAATAAAGAATTGCTAGAGCTCAATCAATGAATTCATCTGTGCTCGTTATAATGCTCGTATCTGTAACAAAGTCGCTCTTGATCAGGGCATTATTAGCACAGGCTCAATTGAGACTGATGTTTCTTAGAGTGTCTTCTTTTAATATAGATATTTTACACCCTCATCAACACATTTTAAATCACTTAGATGGTGGGTTAGGACCCTGCCTGATAAGGCCAACCTTGACCTTAGAGGGATACATCATCCCAGGAGAAAGACCGAAAATTTCGATAAAAATTCACCCCACACAAAAATCGAACCCGGGTCTTCTTCGAGCGACGGCAAAGGGCCTCATCGCCCCACCACAGATTGATGTTCCAACGTTTCCAATTAAAAGTGTAACGCCGTGAGTTTTCTTTGCTCACCGTATTAATTGACAGGGTCGGTGACATATTTCAATGAGTGGGAAGGGGGTATTTGTCGCATTCTGCTTTTTGTTTGTTTGTTTGTTTTGTTTTGTTTGTGTGTTTGTTTGTTTGCTTGTCTGTTAGTTTGTTTGTTTGTTTGTTTGCTTGTTTGGTTTTTTCGGGGGGGGGGGGGTATATTAGGCGAAAAAGCTGTACAAAAGGAAAAGAAAGAAAAACTTAATGTCAACAACAAGTTCGATTTTTTTCTAAGTCTTTAAATATCATTGTCTTTAAATACTCCCATTAGCTTAGTCAATAATTTTCTAATACGAATAAGATCATTTACATGGCACTCGATAAAAGGAAACAGGACAAAAAAGTCTCCTTGTTCAAAGACAATTAATTAGATTGAAGAAAAAAAAGACTTTTTTTGCACACAGGAATATAATTAGAATATAATTCGACAGCGAAAGCATTACTATGTCCAACACCAAAAATAAAAAAGGGATCTAAACTGAAATACATGGTGCTGTGAAAGGTTTTATCATACCACTAAACATAAATAGAAGATTCTGCAAGGAGGAATGTACAGTGGTGATAGTCTAGGCTGGGTACAACACCACAATCAATCAATCCCCTTATTAGTCCATTTCTACACTCGGAGTCACGTTGTACGGATGCTACTTCAAACTGTTCTATCGGTTCAGAAAGAGTTAAAGACATCTACGTATATGCGTTATGTGCTGATACCATACAAACACACACGCACACACACGCACACACACACACACACACACATACACACACACACACACACACACACACACACACACACACACACACACACACACATATATATATATATATATATATATATATATATATATATATATATATATATATATAAAGAGAGAGAGAGAGACAGACAGACACAGAGAGAGAGGGGGGGGGGGGCTGAGAATTGATGCGAAACGTATTTTTCTACGTCTTCTTTTACGCAATATATTTCTTTGAGAGACGAGACTGTTGGGTTGGCTGTGAAGTCGCTGTAAATATTTTACGTCCTAATCGACACAAGTTAAATACGAGGAGAGCGGCTTCGATCCTGACTGTCGGTAGCCAGAGCCAGCCCCGAACTTTGAGAAACATTAAGCTTCTCGATAGAATAAACTTTCCCATAAGGAGATCGAATTGACATCTATAACAAGCATCGGAAATCTTTATCGAAGCATTTGTCAACAACAATGGATGCAAACAGTCTAAAGCAATGAAAATGCGTTGCACTAGACATGGCACCACTGATTTAATCACAGCAAAGAAAACATCCATTCAAACGATAACTAGCTACTTTACAAGTCATACAGATGTTCGACTATTTTTCTGAAAAACTAATTTCACTAGCCCAAACATCGCAGTCCAAAGACAAAAGCGATACTTGCATCTATTTAAAGGAACTGCCTCTCGAGTAAGACACAATTCACTCAAGCTTTCTGAAGGTTTTCTTGCAACCTTAAAAAGCACGCACCACACACCGTCTAAAAGCCTATGACGCAAAAGAGAAAGAAACAGGGACAGATTCCAACAATCAGACACCGAGGAGTCCGTCTCGACAGCAATACGAAAGTCTACAGCTGAAGCAGAGGTTCCCATGGTCCCAAGTAAGAGCGATCATACAGTGTGAGGAAACTTTTCTACTCAAAGCGTGCACTATTCAAAGGCTATTTCTACTATCTGTAGACTTTTGTCCTTTAAATGACCTAAAACGGTCTTCTATGAGCATGGAGTCGTTATCAGTATAGCATGCATTACATAAACTAGCACATTACCTATCAGAATTGGAAGTTGGCTTATAGTGCCTATCAAGAGTAAAAGAACAAAAGTGCGTTCGAAAATGAGACTGGTCATTATGAAGAGTCACAAAGTATAATATAAAGGATGAGAATAAGGTTATCAAAGCCGCCACTTTAGACTAAGTCTTAAACTTTGCATGTCTGGGACACATATTTTTGACGGTGAGGACAACAATTAATGCTAACATTATTGTATGTATAACCTTAGTCAAGTACTTTACAAGACAAACTAAGAATGTGTCGATCATGTTTTTTGTCTTTTCTTTTCTTTCATCCAAATACCCAAAGAAGCATTTTACTAGATGCATATATAATAGTATGTATACATATGTATATATTGTATTTGTAGATTCCCCAGCTCAGTATGATAACACTGCGTCTATCCAGCTCTTAAAGCAATACAACAAAAAACTGCCGTCTGGCGACTACAGACTTCTACGTGGCTGTTCAACGTCCACAGACATGCTTTATGAAAAGAAAATTCACTGCTTGATTTATTCCCTTGTGAGCAATGACAGTGGGGTCTGTGAACACAGGGTCACAAACAATAGCAAGCAAAGCCAGTGAAGCGGCTTTTATTTGGATGATCAGTTGGATGAGTCTTTCAAAGAGGCATGAGCTCAAAAACCTGGGCGCGCTGTGGTACTGTGGTTATGTTTTGGTACAAATGTCTCTTTTAACATTGTAAGAATTAAAAAAACCTGAGCTTTGAAAATTCCAGAATTGACTTCAGTTCGAAATGCATTATTGAGATTCGAACCAGTGCCGTCTGCACGGTAGCCCAATGTGACACCAACAAAGCTAACGGTGTGATCTCACTGTGTGTGTATATGTGTGTATATGTATGTGTGTGTGCATGTGTGTGTGTGTATGTGTGTGTGGGGGGGGAGGGAGGGAGGGCGGCGTGTATCTGTGCACGTGTGAGAGGGAACGAGTGTGTTAGTCTCTTTTGGTGGGTCCAGCTTTCATGAAGAAGGAAAATAGCACCCACCATACGGAATGACACTACTATGATGGGCGATTTAGGCGAAAGACCTACACTTTAATAAAGAAAATGTTCGCAACAAATACTTGATAGAGTTTCAAGACTGATTTGTTCCTCAGCTTGAATTGAAAGGACTTAGGGCATCAGGAACCAAATACCGGCTCGTTTCGTTTGAATTCTGGACAAACAAATATCCCAGTGTTACCTCCACCGGACAAAGCATTATACTGAATCTGTGAAAGTATGGCCTCTCAGATTTAACGACTTTCTTTGATCTTCTCCAAAACATGTTTACGTATCTGAAAACATCCACCATATAACATAATGTTTCGGTCAAATACAATCGGCAATGAAGGAGTAGACATCTCAAGATATATTTGTTGTTGGTCGAAGATTACATAAAGATTTACTACAAGGCGAGGAAAGACATACCCCAGACATGTATGCTGCTCATGCACATTGAGACAACCCGAGCACTGACTATAGATCCTATCATTTTGACAGTTGAAATATACCATCACCTCACCATTGTCCCCATAGTATAATATACAAAGCCGACTCAATAACCATTGTCGTACCTTACCTACTCCTGTTGATATAACACTTGCAAAGGATTACCAATATCGTGTATGACACAAAAAGACATGATCATATAAATATAATTTGCTTAAAAACTGCCTAATGTTTAAAGCAAAAGCGGCCATGCATTTTCATTTGTACTTGTGGCATTAACTTTAAAAAACAACAACAAAAAAACAAAATAACTACTAATAAGCTGACATGAAGAAAACCGAGACAAATACTGGTAATGCCTAGAATATAATTTAAAAGTCTTATGGAAAGTAGCAAGCAATGTCTTAGTAAACGTATTACCTGTATATAACTTTTTAGCACTCTAGCATGAACTACAAACTGCGACAGTTAACCTCCAAGATGAGATTTATACCAGTTTTAGAAAGACAATTCACCCATTATTTAGATCCCAAACAAAACGACAGTTTAATATGTCAAAAATGGTTGTCCAAGGAAAGAATTGAACAGATGCAGTGCGTATCAAATATTTTAAGACCTTAAACTGCATTGAAGAAAAAAATGTTTTAAACGCTTTCAAACATCATGCAGGGAAACAAAATGAAATATTAAAAATCAGGAATAAAACCAAGACCAAAATAAGAGCCCAAAATATATGATCCAAACAAACTGACATGAAAATAAAAATGAAATTAAGCAGAAAGAGATATCTCGTAACGAAACGAAGAGGAGGGTCTAAAATAATGTCTCTTTCCTTAATTCTGAAAATCAAACTAGTCTGTTTATAGCACAAATGACATCACTCACCCACTATCAGCGTGCTTTTCAGTGAAAAGCCTAAGCAAGAATTCCGCCTCTTCGTGGGGGTAAAATGTACACGGAATGATGACGTAATTTCCAGGCGGCAACTCGAAACGTTTGGTGATTTCCCTGTAGAACACATAGGAACCTGAGCGTCGGGTGAGTAAGAGTGCATTTCTGGGAGCGCGTGCGTCATCCAAGGGTTTGAAGTCAGGATCTTTGAGCTGTGAACGAGTCATTAAAAAAATCAATAAGGATCACATGTCGATATGAGTTTGAGTACGTGTGGATATATAACAAGAATGTACAGGCGTCTGCGGTGTAGTGGTTAGGCGCTTTGCTCTTCCTCGCAGAAGACCAAAGTTCAGATTCCCGTGTGGGGACAATTTAATCGAGTATCTCAGTCTTTCTGCTGGGACACTGTGTCCCTCTTACTCAAGGCTGGCCCTGACAGGCACAGTGGAAAACCACATCCTATTTGACCTCAACTGTGTCGATGGGGGCGTAAACAACCTTCACTAAAATGGAAAAAAATAGAGCTGGAGACATGGAAAACAGGCAGACAGAAACAAAAGAAAATAAAAGCTACCAGCTGTATCCTCCATTAACCTCCCAGTTGTTGATTTGAGGAGATGTGAATAATACAAGAAGGCTGGGTTAAAAAACTCGGCTTTTTCTTACCTAATGCAAACCACTTCAGCTTCCTATAATTTAAAAAAAATATATGAAAATCATACCCTTGACAGATACGGGGGGAAATGAAGTGTTAACGATGGCTTAAAAGGGCAACTATATATGCACAGATAATGTACTATGATAAACAAAAAGAATGTGGCCGATTAATGAAAAATAAAATCAATTCTATGGCTCATCTCTCTTTGCTGAACACAGCAATGACCATGCCACACTCCAAACAAAGAGGAGAATGTTCCGAAACGTTTGTCTCAGTGGGAGTAAAAAGGTTTCAATTAAGGCACTATGAACACACAGTTGTGAGTAAGTTGGAGTTGCATAAGACAGAGCAAACACAGAGTCTGTCTACCAGGATATCCGTGTTGTTCACTGAGATGTCACACGTGCAACATTATAGGTGTCAGATCATGGACAAAAGCAGATCGGCACCAATCACGTTAGATCCCTAAAAACTAGACTGTAGTAGCACAGTAAAAAATGCTAACCTTTAACATAAAAGGGTTTTGTTCTTTTCTATCATAAGCTTAATGTCTTTGTCGACGCGACTTTTGGAGTAGCCGAAAAACAACCAATTCGTACCCCGCCCGTTCATATGACCTTCAGTTGTGAGCGCTGTATAACTCTTTTCAAACCAAAAAACACCCATGGTAACAACATATAATTTGTTCCTTGTGATAAGCCCAGTTCTAACAGACATGACGGTTATAAGAGAGCCTATACATGCAGCAAAACTTATACGTACCCAAGACGCTTCACATATTTGCCATAATAGGAAAATTTGAAGAAGAAATAAAAGTTATTTGAGTTTATAAATAAACTAGAAATTCACCCTGACTATACGTAAAATATTAGTAGACTTAAATGAAACTAAGTCACACACGCAGCAAAATCATATCACACACGTAACCCCACACTTCTCACCTCATTTATCAGCTGGGATAGTAAGAAAAATAAAAGGAAATTATCTTTGTGTGTGTGTGTGAGAGAGAGAGAGAGAGAGTGTGTGTGTGTGTGTGTGT